TATTATTATTATTATTATTATTATTATTATTATTATTATTATTATTATTATTATTATTATTATTATTATTATTATTCGGCTTGAAATTGTCAGCCTCATTCTCATTAAGTTCCTCCTCTTCAGTGGGAAGTTGTTCCATTGTTTCCAAAACTTTGGTGTTGTAGCCTCCACAATGTCCACATTTGTGATAGACGAAATGATATTTCGCATTACTTCGTTTCTCGCAATCATTGCATAAAATTATCGAAATATAATGTTCATATTCCGAAGGCATTTTTTGCGTTTGTAAAATTGCGTCTATTCGTTCAAAGTAGGTTCTCATGTTCCCAAGAGATTTCCAACAGATTGGACATTGATAAGCGTTACTGGAGTATTCTCCGAAACATGATTCGTGCATTGTATGACCACATGGCTGATTAAGGTGAATAGGTTAATAAGGAGAATTCGTGTTCACGAAACAAGCGGAAGAAAAAAAATATTCACCATGTAAATGGATCTCAACGTCGACGTGAACAAATATTCCCCACAAATAGGACAATCACGCTCCAGATTTTTCTCTATACACTTGTGTGTCTTTTCCAAACGAAGCGCTAAACAACAATTACACGTATCACAATGAAAGAAATCTTTACCCAGTCCAGCACCAACACGGCATAATCTACAATTAGCACAATGATAAATGCTCTTTTTCGAATCATCGTCCCAGAATTTACATATGTCGCAATAGTATCTTGCAAGTGTATTTTGGCATTTAGTGCATATTTGATTGGGTGTTTGGATATTTTGACAGTACATACACATCATCCTTTTGGTATCGTGCCTTTTTTTTTTATAATAATAATTGCATCATGAGAAATATAATAATGAACGATTAAAAAGTGACCATACAAAAATCAGATAGGTTCATACCTAACCATTTGGTGATCAGAAACGCTATCATGACAATGTCTACAAGTGAACCATCTCCCACAACAATTAGCTTGTAATTTTGCTCCGCGTTGATAATGCTCGCATCCGTAAACTTTCTTTGGTTCATCCTAGAACACAGAATTTCATAAATGTAGAAGAAAAGACGCGTGAATTCACGAATCTAATTTTCAATTGCATAAATTATGTAAAATATAATATATAATATACATAATACGTTGGCTTTAGTTCTTCAGGTGTCGGTTCTGAATTCGCCAATAGGATTGTAACTGACGACGAAGATGGCTGTGATCGCTGTGATTTCGAAGACTCTCTCCAATTTGAGCTCATTAACTCCTAAAGATATCACAGTATAAGTTACAAAAACGATTTATACAGACCGGCCGAAAAAGTGAACGAAAAATCGAATGATCGTTTATGTACTTGTATTTTTGACGCTTTTTCGTCATTGGATATATTGGGGTCGTTACGAATGGCAAAAATGGCTTTTCGCAATTTATTTTGAGCCTCTTGGTCAATTTCTGGTGAGGTTTCTTCCGCGTGATTCATATTATTTGCATTAAACTCTTCAGCCAAGGAGTCAACAGCACGTTGTTGTTCGTTATCTTCTTCTCCTTCCATCTCCGCCCATTCCTCCTCATTTTCAGCAACGAGACCTGTCGCGTCACTCATGCCAAGTTGTGTGTTGTTGCGATCTATAGAATGTACTACCCAGACTTAGTGGTGTCTCCCGGTTCCCAAGCTTTATATTTTTCAAAATGATATTTACATGATAAAACAAGCAAGCTTACACACCGGCCATTGAAGTGTAATTCGTTCGACTTTTCTCCACGAAAATGTATTGTCAATTCGAAAAATTCTATTTCTGATTTTGAATTAATTAAATATGCATTATTATGCGTATGCATCCCTACGTAATTTGTTTGTATTTATTGGGCGTTTAAGATTTCGCGAATCTAATTTATTTATCAGTTTTGAAAAATGTTTCATCAATCGGAAGCTTTTTGTCTTTGATAAAACTAATTGAAGGCAACGTGCTATTAAAACTCGACTCGCCCGCATGATTCTGCAATTTGCTGGTGGACTGGGAACTAGCATTATATAGACATTGTGGGAGAATGTTGAAGTGATTGTTCTATTGTGAACTGCGAGATAAAGTATAGTTAGTTAAGACTTAGAGCAATTAGAATACACTAAAAGAAAAATAGTCATGGATTTTATTGAAAAAAAAAAAGAAAATTGATTTAAAAATAAAACTACCACAATAAATTTAGTTCATAAGTAAAATAGATATTAATCATCAAAGAGCACTTCATTCGTAAATGCCCAAGAAAGTTGTTATTTATTGTTTTCGCTCATTTGATAGTTGATTAAAAAAGTCCGTTGATCTTTTTCCAACCATTAAATCTTCATATAGCGTAAAAAGGATGAAAAGGATTAATGCGTGTATTTCATTGATCACATGATCATGTTTAGTATCATATCGATATGGAAGTGCTACCACAATGACCAAGCCAGCCTTTTAACAAGATGCGCGCAGTTTTGCAAAGAGTATCGAGTTCAAGTGTTTCAGGCAATACAAGAAATCGTGTTCACATTGTTTAATCGATTATTATGATCAAAGAGTTTTTTACAAACTTTCCATTACTAATAAAATAATAGTTGATGGTAAAATAATCTCCGCAATAAATCGTGGAGTGTGTGTTCTTGTTGGTATCGCATCGAGTGATACCGAATCAGATATAGAGTATATCGTGAGAAAGATACTTAATGTACGCGTGTTTGAAGATGAATCTGGAACAAAGATGTGGATGCGGAGTGTTAAGGATGCGGAACTCGAGATTTTGTGCAGTGAGTTTTTATTTCGTAAAGTATATGATCTCAGAAATATTAATTTTCTTTATTTGCTCTAATTAGTATCTCAGTTTACTTTGTATGCCAGCTTAACCAAAAGTATGAGAGATTTCTTTGAATCCTTTATTTGTTAAAGTACTTTAATAATAAACCTTTTTTTTTAAGATAAACCAAGTTTTCATCAAGCCATGAATTCTGAAGCATCGAAAGGAATGTACACAACATTTTTGAACAGACTAAAACAAGCTTATGTCGAGGATAGAGTAAAAGGTGATATGACTTTATCTATTAAAAAACAATTAATCTACCCAATGATCATTAAACTTGGTATTTTGTCGAAACAGATGGCGTTTTTGGAGCCATGATGAAAGTTAACATTGTCAATGAGGTAAAATTTTGTTTTTACTCGATTTTTCCCCCATGACAGTTAGACTGAGAGATATCTTGTACTTAAAATATTCAATAAGGGACCTGTTACTTTGGAACTTGATTCGAGGAAATTTACGTATACCAATAATAATAACGATAATAATGATAATAGTAATAGTCGTACTGCTGATAATTAATTGTACACCGTAAACACAATTTAGTTGCATAAATTAATACATGATTTAAGTTGGTTGGACTGATTAGAGAATAAATAATGAAACCAGAAATTAAAGAAAAACCGTTTACCAGCGTACGAAGTGTAGTTAAGGTACTTTTTACTTAGAATAAAATAAAATAAATATATCTATTTATTTTTGAAATAATGAATTAAATTAATTGAATTTGATAGTCAGTGGTGCGCAATGCGAACATTAACGAGGTAAATTATCACTAACGAAAAACTACTTTTTGATAACGTTAAATTGACTAATCAATTGATTAATCAAAATGAATTAGGAAGTAATGCGCACCGCGAAATTATTCGTAGCTGTCGACGCTTCAATGAAATCCACATACCAAGTGTGTTTAAAACAATAACTGCCTATTTATTTTTTTTCCTAAAACTCACATTTATCATTTTTTAAGTCAATGGAAAAAATCACCGCTGGAATTGTTCAATTACAAGAACGGTATTTATTTGACCTTTTATAGTGTGTGGCGGGTTTTTGATGACCTTTTGTTAACTTGTAATTCAACCAAAAAAAAAAGTAATACGCAAACACTAGAAAATTTACATGTAATTCCACAAATATACGGCGGATTGATAGTAGAAGAATTGATCAGATATCCACCGCACATTACTTCCTCTAACACCATTGGACCATAGAAATCATCTTCAATGCATGTACTTATTCGTTGTCATAAAAAATTTCGTGTTTCATTACGGGGAAAACTGGTTATGACATATTATTACCAATAACTCTCGTAAGTTAGTTTATTGGGTCCAACAAAAAAAAATCTTTTTTACGATTATTAATTAACTTTCTCATGACAAAAGAAAGTTAGATAGGGTTGATTTTGAATTCTCTGTCTCATTATCAATAATTTCTAATATCGAGCGTTTCTTATATCAATCGAGTGCACTTGCAATAGGATAAGCAACCCAATTTAATAAATAGTTTGTTTTTCACGAGTAGATATGCCGGGTGGGAGTATATTTGAACCAAAAAATGTAGCGTTTGGCGCGGCTTTACCGCTCACATTTTTTTTCTCCTGGCTCGGTTTGGGCACCATCCCCATACCCGTATATCCACTATTCGATTTACCATTAATAGTCTTTCTTGTTCGTGCTACAAAAACCTTATTATACGATGCAATGTTATTTTGTTTCTTAGCATTTAGTATTGGTTTATCCTACAGAGACTTTTCATACGATGCCTTAGCTTCACCCTTCGATAATTTAGCAGTAATTGCGTTAATAGGAAGCGCCATAGCATTCTTAACAATCCTACCAGCATACATCGAAAAAATTATCAATGAGAAATATAAAAAGTCTAATTTCTTTTTATTTGCTGGCCTTTGGATGGCCACATGGCTAAGCTACCGTAGACACTCGCCTTTTGGCTCTTGGGGGGACTGGGCATATACGATACAGGGTACCGGTGATGCGTTAACGCAATCTGCATCGATCCTTGGACTTAGCGGTATTGACTTTTTACTTGCGTGGTGGGCGCATGTCGGTGCCGAATTTTTAAATGAATTTACGAATGCTGGTGCTGGCCAAGATGATTTGATTTCTTTTGGAGACGACGACGAAGGCACCCCGTTATTATCACGTGATCAAAAAGAAATTGCGGCGCAACGCTCACGTAAAAAGAAAATTCTTTCGTTATTTGCATTCCTCGCCATTTATACGTATGGAGCATCTCGGCTAAACGAAATTGAGAGCAACACGGAACCATTGAAAACGTTTAAGGTAGCATGCGTTTTATCCTCACCAAACATCGATGAAACACCAAGTAGTGCAATGATTAAGCACACGGCAAAATTAGTCACGCAAGCAAAGTTAGTATTGTGGTCTGAATCTGCAGTCCCGCTAAGTTCCATTCATGAAATGGAATTATTATTAACTGAAATTAAGAATTTAACGAAAAAGCATCATTCTAACGTTGGCGTAACATATACCATCCCAACTACGGACAATAAACGTCTAAACGTATTGTCTTTGATAGACAGAGAAGGTAATATTATCTTTAATTATACCAAAACCTACCCCGTACCAATCGCAGAAGGGTATTCCACAAAATCAGGTCCTGGAATACTGCCACTGGAGGAGATCGATGTTCGAGAACCAAAGGCACATGTTCCATTGCTTCTCAATGTCAGCGCAGCTATTTGTTTTGACATGGACTTTCCGTCCCTTCTTGCGCAAGCTGCGAACGCAAATTTGGTGCTTTCACCAGCACAAACTTGGTCTTCGCGAATAGGCCTAGAACACTTACGTATGGCCAGTGTACGAGCAATTGAGCAAGGATTTTGGCTATTACGTTGTGATGCTGGTGGTGTAAGTGGTTTGGTTGATGATGCTGGACGGATAAGAAATTGGCAAGTCGCTTCAAAAGGTGGTGTTCAGGATTTTCTATGGGATTTGCCCTTAACTGAAAAAAGAACGACTATATATTCTCAATACGGCGATTGGGCGTCATTGGCCATTTTGGCATTGATTGCGTTGTTAACGGTCGCGCCAGGAAGATACGTGGAAAAAACCGAGCAACAAATTGACAATTTATTTGCAAATACATATAAGAAAATATTGGATACGCTGCCACGTGGTTCGCAAAGAAACGCGAATTATTAATAGTATGACAAAACGGACTAAATGAATGAACTTTCATTAATAGTTATTTTTTTATGGATTCTCTTGTATTTAGGTTTTTCGTGTTAAATTTTATTCTTAATATCTTCGAGATTACAAAATATGAATATCGAATATACCGAATCTATCGAAAATTTATTGGTAATACCGATAATTATCGAATGTATACCAGAAGTTATTAAAATTCTCTGACAACGCTTTTATATGCAATTAAAAAAATAATTATTAATTCGATCTATCGAGCAATTTTGCCCGGGCATCTACATCAGTACATGCCTATTAGGTTTCAAACATTCCTCCTCTAATCCCCTAACCCTAACCACTTGCACACCTTTTTCCCTCAACAGATCCACGCCCACACACTTTACAAAGTGATCCGGTTCTTCGACACCTATGACGACTCGCATGATTCCAGCCTCGAGTATTCGATCCACACAAGATTTCTTACCTGATAATCGTGTGCTACATGGTTCCATCGTGGTGTAGATTGTCGCGTCGGATATCAATGATGTAGGATTTGAAACAAGTTTTTGTAAGGCACATTCTTCCGCGTGTGTATTTCCTGGTAGTTCACGAGAATATCCTCTACTGAGGATCTGAGAGTCTTTCACGATGATCTTAGTTTTTGTAATTTATTGTTAATCTTCTGATGACCATAAGAAAACGCCTAAAAAATTTTTTGGCATACCGCGCCTACACAGTACGCAGTAGGTATCGGAATTGATAAATTTGCTTGTTCGATCGCAAGACGCATATATTGGAGGTCTTTTTCATTTTGTTGATCTTTATTTATGGAAATCGAAAAATGTAAATTGATCATACGTTGAATAAACAACAAAATTCATATTTGATGTTACCAGCAGTCATTTTGTTTTATTTTGTCTGTTTTTAAACAATGGGATTTCGAGGATCTACAGTCTACATTTTGTGCCAAAAATTTTGTCGATCAATAGAAAAAGGAAATTTAATCGTGGCATTCGGTGATTGGGAATGATAAGTTCGAAATACGAAAAATTTCATTATTGTAATTTTTCGTCATGGAAGAAGTAACAAAACCCGCTCAAGGTAAACGCGAGCGGGGTAAGAGTTGTTTACGGCCATTTAAAAATTGGTTAATTACATTTTATTTTATTGTTAAAATAATGTAGAGACACCGGAGGTAACAGGTTCAGAAGAAGAGATAGTAAAAACTACCACAGTGACCACGACCACGATCACGACAACGACCGAAATAAAGCAACGAGAAGAGCCGATAAAAGTCAACAAATGGAATTTATCAGAATTGAAGAATGCGTGTGACGATCATGTTCAAAAGGTTAATTTGATTTTTATTAGTTTTATCAACTCTTGAATCTTTCAATATGTGTGAATTCAAGTAATTTAACTGTCAAATCAACAAATTAGTACCTAACAACAAAAGCTCAGTACTGTCAACACCACGTACACACAGACGTCAAGCTCTTTCTTGGGTACGTATCGTGCGTGTTTGCCTTGGTTGGCGGGTCGTACACGTATTTCACGCCGTTTCAAGAATCGAAAGATGTGACGTTGGTTTGCGTTATTGCGTAAATATTTTTTATTTGGCCTTGTTTTTTTTGATTTCCCGTGTGATCCTCTTTTTAAATAACGAGTAATTCATTAAAATAGATATTTAATCCTAAATACGTTAATGGTTGCGTATTCATTGTTTGTTGAAAAAGATACAATTTTTGTTGGGTGTCCGATGGGAATGGACAAGGTAAAAATCAAAAATAAATTATTGATCAGATCATCGTTATGCTAAAGAAATTAATAGTTAAAATTTTTGCTTTCATAATAAAAACCCTTTTAAGAATTCGGAAAAATATCACAAACTAATAATCCACACCACCACGAAACGGTACTCGGATATATACAATATCACATTTGAAGTAAAACATAAAAATGACGCATCACGTGCGTCGTCTTCTATAAATAATAGCAACGTGTATACAATTTCGCGATCTTATGGTGGTTGGTTTGATGTGAACGGCGTGTTGGATACAGAGATATTCGAAAAAGTTTTAGCGGAGGGCATAAGAGTGGCTCTGTCCGGTGAAAAGCCACACGAGCAATAAGAATTTTTACAATTCATATAAAATATGAGTTTAGCGTGGGATATTCATAATTTAATAGGAAAATAGTGAGGGGTAATGTGTAATTATGTAACCTTAAACGATTGAACAAATCATAATGTAACTAATAAGAACTATTTACATGTTCGGCTTAAATGCTTTTTGCTTCTTCTGGATCTCTCCCAAATTTGTTTAAACTCCAAAACGTGATTGCCTTCTCACTCGGCTTCCAATCCTTTGGAAGCTTCTCTTCGAGAAGAATGCACTTTAAATCATCCACACTAATTTCTTTTTTCTCTCCACCAAATGTCATGAGCAAAAGCGCCGACTCACCAAACGACAGCGCTCTCTGTCTTAATCCGTATGTGAACTCTTTGTTTTCTTTCACACACTGATCTATACGAATATTTCGTGCATTTGCCAACGAGTCTGCATTAATCTTTCCGTTGACGTGTAAGGACACCAGTTGGTCGACTAATTCTCGGTCGATCTTTGAGTTGTCACCGAGATTGGCATCTTTTCGTGAGAGTGACGCGTCATGTTCTATTACGTTATGGGCTTTGAGTTGGTCTAATGATCTTTTTGATTTGCATCATTTTTCAAATGATTTTGTTTGTTATTCATGCATAATTAATATTATTAGTTTTTTTTGTGACTACTCACAACTTCCCATTTTCACCAAGTAGCAACGTCGATACTTTTGCTAGCGTATAAGCGAATCCCTTTGATACGTTAAAATGTTGTTGCATTGCATCACGCATTTGTTCAGGTGTATAATTTTTACCATCACGCGGTCTTTTTTATTATTAGCGTTATTATTAGTAAAAATTCAAGTTACGAAAGTTCAAGAAAGTTTTTAAAATTACAAATATCCATGGTTCGCCAAAATATTTAGTGCGGGACACGGTGACCTTTTATCGTTCTCGCCGGGTGGTCTCCATTCTCTATCAATGTCCTTTGATTCTGTCATTTTTTTTCTCAACTGAAACAAAAAATGATAGTTCTTTATTTGTTGGATGAGAATATATCGATATTTTAATTCGTGCATGAATGCAGGATTGGGAACATTTTTCGCAAAAATAGACAATTGTAATACATAGAAAATAGAGGGTGGATAAAAATTCCTCGGTCCCGTGATTTTTTAAACATTAATGAACTTGTATACTAACGAAAAATGTTCTTTAACATTTATATTAATCTCTACTCTGACCAACGAAATGCTATTATATAGTCGCCGGCATACATACGATTGCGACATTCTTACTGGCTTGTTGTCACGTGACCGGGAACCGAGCACGGATTGTGTGTGATGATCTACACAAAAATGTCAGTTGTATCCTCCTCGAAAAAATATTCTAACACACTTGAAAAGAACAATGATATTCACAGCTTTGGTAAGAAAATACCTGAAACGTTCGAATTTTATTTAATAACTAATTTTCATTCTCATTTATTTTGCTTCCTTTCAACTTTCCCTATCTCCTAAATCCAAAAAAAAAGTCTGATTGGGAGTCCGCAACACCTTACACACCTCTCATCCCACAACAACTATTTCCAGTACTCGCTTTGGTCCTCTTATTGTCTGGCGCCGTTGCTACGAGCACTTTTTCTGTGTATCCTTTTTCTATTCTCTCAAAACTTAAGTGTCTGCTTTGTGAAGTAGAGAGATGTGGTAGAGTCGAATTGGATTGAGACAAGAATTTTAGAATTTAGGTTCATCTTTGGTTTTTTTCATTTCCTTAACAATCAATTAATGATCAAAAATTCTCTAAAACAACAAACAGAACAAAGGCAGAAAATTTAGCTATCAAGGAATTATATTCCGCTCTGCCAGCATCACTACTTCTCGGGTTTGGAACAGTGTTTTTGTTCTTATCGGTGGGAATTTATGTATAGGATAAGATCCGAAGAGATGAAGGGATCACATAAAAGAATCGATACATACTTGGGAAAAATCGATCTTGTTATTTTGAGATCTAATTTAAATAATTGGTAATATTTGTTCCTGGGTTTTTTCTACTCGATCATTAATATTTATGAATGCTATCGATCGATTTATCAAAGCATCCATTTCACTTTATGTAAATCATATGAAACAAATAAATAAATTGGGGCAAGGAAGGTGACGTGTTCCACGCCATCATATCTGCTACACCAATACGTTACCCACGTCTCGGCAATGTTTTTTGTATTTGATCTGTGTTATGAAAACAATCACTTGAATTTCCATGCAAGGTGACAAAAGATTTTACCTACTTGCCATATTCGGGGTAATGTTACGAAGAAAAGATTGAAACACTACGTATAACTTTAATTTTTCGCACGAGGTTAAATTTAGTTTAGTCTTTAGTTAGTTTATACTTATTTAAATATGGATGTTCTTTCAAAAAAAAAACAAAAAAAAAGAAGAGACCATCATCATAGCTCTACCGCGCGCCTTTTTAGCCTTTTTTTAGCCTTTTTACTATAAAAAAATTAGTATTAGTTAGTATAAATAAAATTTTATATATCGTATGTATATATATATATATATATAGTTTGTAAAAAACTTTCGAGGACTTTTTTTCTTGATTCTCCCCTACTCTGAATAAAAATTGATGATAAAAATTAAATTTCCAATTAAATCTATTATACTAAAATTTAAATAATTATTTAAAAATGGCACCTAGTGAAATTTCGAAACATACAAAAACGAATAATAATACCACCGATTCACGTAAACAAACAACAGAAACAGTCGCAGGAATCGACACTACGAACTGGCCTACTGATGGGACTGCACTCATTTGTATAGATCCCTGGTTGAAACCTCATGCATCGGCTCTACGTAAAAGGTTTTTATAAAATCAATTTATATTTGTCTACTTGTTTGGATTCGATGAATTGGCTGGATTCAATGAATTGGATGAAATAATCAAGTATAGTATATAAATAAAAAGATACAATGCCTACCAGAAATGGGTGGATAAAATTGAGCAACAGGAAGGTGGATACGATAAATTTACCAAGGGTTACGAATACTTTGGATTAAATGTTCAACCTAACGGTAATGTTGTGTATCGTGAGTGGGCACCTAATGCTATCAAGGCCTCTTTAATTGGGGATTTTAGTAAGTAAAAATTCAGTAGTAAGGTTATCTTTTTTTCATTAAAATGTTAATGTAAGTATAATTTCATTTTTTCAGATAATTGGAATAGAAATGCTAATCCAATGAAAAAAAATGAGTATGGTGTTTGGGAAGTAACAGTTCCTGCGTTATTTCCTAATGTCCCACGAATTCCACATAATACGAAAGTAAAGGCAAGTTTTAAGAAAAAAATCTCTATGCTCCGTACATTCTATCATCTATGTAATAATCAACTTTTTGTCAAAAAATAGATCTCGATGGAAATCCCCGGAGGGGAAATAATCGATCGTCTACCAGCATGGATAAAGCGAGTGACCCAAGACATGAGCGTTAGTGTGGCGTATGATGCTATTTTTTGGAATCCTACGAATAAATACGAGTGGAAACATAAAGCACCGAAAAAACCTTCGAAGTTGAGAATTTATGAGGCTCATGGTGATATTAATAATTTGTTAACGATGCCCTTTTCGAGGATATTTTCTGTTACGTTGTATAATAATTATATTTGATCGGTACCGTTTAAATATTCTATAGTTGGCATATCATCAGTTGAAGGTCGTATAGCTTCTTATGACAATTTCACCGATGACGTGGTGAAACGAATCGCAGATCTCGGCTACAATGCTATTCAATTGATGGCTATAATGGAACATGCGTATTACGCGTCATTTGGATATCAAGTCACTAGTTTCTTTGCTGCTTCTAGTCGTTATGGTATTTTTATTACTAAATTTATGGAATTATATTTTCACTAGCATTATATTGATCATGGCTGGACGCATTTTGTACAAAAAAATAGGAACGCCGGAAGCATTGAAACGCTTAATTGACACAGCCCACGGGTTGGGCTTATATGTGCTACTTGATATTGTGCATTCACATGCTTGCAAAAATGTGCTTGATGGACTAAATATGTTTGACGGTACAGATCATTGTTATTTCCATGGCGGTGGTAAAGGTCAACATGATCTCTGGGATAGGTAAATTGCCTTTTTACATATATTTATGTGTTTCTATTTGTTTTCTGGAAATCAGTTAAATATAAATATTTTTCAAAGCCGTCTATTCAATTACGGCCATCCCGAAGTTCTTCGTTTCTTGCTATCGAATGTACGATTCTACGCGGAAGAATATAAATTTGACGGATTCAGATTTGATGGTGTGACTAGCATGTTATATGTTCATCATGGTATTGGGACCGGATTTTCTGGCGGATATCATGAGTATTTTGGTGATACTGTTGACGAGGAAGCAGTTGTGTATCTGATGTTGGTAAGAAAGAAATTTATATCGATTATTCATTATATGATAAAAAATGTTGTAATAACAAATTTTACACAGGCAAACGATATGCTTCATAAATTATATCCCGGGATTTTAACTGTTGCTGAAGGTAAAGCGCACGTTTTATATGGATTTTCTATTTGACACTTCTAATGATATTTTTAATTTGGATGCTTAGATGTGTCAGGAATGCCTGGATTATGTCGTCCTGTTAGTGAAGGTGGTCTAGGGTTCGATTATCGTCTCGGAATGGCCATTCCTGATATGTGGATCAAAATATTAAAAGAAAGAAGAGATGATGATTGGGATATCGGAAATATTTGCTGTACACTCACAAACAGACGATATATGGTTTGTTACATCCAATTTACGTATTTTTTTATTTAATTTTTATTAAATCTTCTTTATTCAGGAAAAAACGATCGCATACGCAGAATCCCATGATCAAGCCATCGTCGGGGACAAAACAATAGCTTTCTGGCTTATGGACGCAGAAATGTACACCAACATGTCAGACCTGACCCCATTAACACCAGTAATCGATCGCGGGATTGCCCTCCACAAAATGATTCGTCTTTTGACTCATAGTTTGGGCGGCGAAGGTTACCTAAACTTTGAAGGCAACGAATTCGGACACCCAGAGTGGCTCGATTTTCCACGTGCGGGTAACAATAATTCGTATCATTATGCAAGACGACAATGGAATGTGGTGGATGATAAGTTGTTGCGATATCGTTATTTGAATGAGTTTGATAAAGCGATGCAACATACCGAAGAGAAGTTTGGATGGTTGGATTCGCCTCAAGTATGTTGGCTAATTGATTAGTTTCTCCAACTATTTATCGTATTTTTTTTTTGCCAGTTACCTAATTTTTTTTTTGCGTGAAATCAATAAATTTGAACAGGCTTACATTTCACTCAAACATGAATTGGACAAAATCATTGCATTTCAACGCGGAAACTTACTATGGATCTTCAACTTTCACCCGACAAAATCCTTTACCGACTACAGAATTGGCACCGAGTGGGCTGGCGAGTACCGGATTGTGTTGAATACCGATTCGAAGCAGTTTGGTGGACATGAACGAATTGACGAGTCGATACCATATTTCTCAACACCTGAAGAGTGGCATGGGCGAAAGAACTTCATCCAGGTGGCGAATTTTTGTGTCAGTTTATTTGAGAGAAAGGATGGAATGTGGTTATTAATTGTTATTTTTTTTTTGGACTCCTTAGGTTTATATCCCATGTCGTGTTGCTATTGTCTTGTCTCATAAACCGTAATCACAAATCAATACAATCCAATTAACCGACTAACAACTCAGTATCCACACGATATACTTACTACACAACATGATGATAACATGTATCCCACAAATCAAACCTTTGTCGTGTTTTGTTTTTGCTTTTATTTATAAGCACGTGTATATTTTCGTCTGTTAAATTGATGTTTGAATAAATATTTTTCATATATTGAAGACAATGTGTCATGTAAATAAAATTAATAAGTTTAACTTAACAGCTGTACAGATTCACGTCAAGATGACTGCAACTGCGTGGTTAAGCGTGTCAAAATGAATCTAATTATCAAGGATAAAGAACAAAAAAAGATTTCGCGAGTGGTAACCCAAACAGCTGCCAAGGAATTTATCGTAACCACCAGCCATCATTCCCAACGAAAATATGGATTATAAATTTTTGCGCTATGCGATTGTTTCAAATAATTCAATTTCAATTAACATCATTCATCCGTATCTTTGACAACCTTTTCTTCCATATTCCTATCCTTCTGTAAATCTCTTCCCTTTCCCATGAACCTTATAATTCTGTCCGCATCCTAGATACCCTTCAGAAAATTGTACTACCGAGATTAACCTAATAGTGATATCATGCGAAATGAACAATGTAATCTAAAATCAAAACAACCTCGTTAGATTGGAACAATTTACAATGAAGTGTGAAATTAGGAATCAGTTGGTTTCTCGCATTTTTGATCACAAAAAAGTGGTGGCCTGGGGTTATTTCCCGAGCAATTTAATTCTTTCGGTATATAAATTCTTTTGCTATTACACCAATCCGAAGACAAAGAATGTTGAAAATATTCTTTTTTGATGCGTAGACCGGATTTTATTATGCATGAAATCTTCAAAGTATAGCGCACACTCTCATTTGATCAGATAATAATGCCGTCTTAATTATACAGTCATCCTTCTCTATCCTCAACCTCTTTTATATCAACACCCCCTTAATATCAACATTGATTGTAGAACAAATTCGCTTGAGCTTATATCTTAACTCTAACCTCTGAGGTATCAACCCTCATACATCAACAAAAATGTCTGGTCCCATCAATGTTGGTAACAGAGAGGGATGATCTTATACTCATAGCGTGAACTCGAAACATTATTTCATTATGTACTTGTGAATTCGGTATCATATCGAGATCTGAAAAAATATCACTCAACGTTAAAAACAAGTTTTGCACTAATCAGTTCAAGTTTTTAAACGCCGTCAATGCAAAATCACGTGAGCAGGCGTTTTTAATCTCGGCCTATCCACATTTAAACATCAAAATCCAAATCATGTCGTTTGAACCATATGAATATGACGACCCCAATGATAAAGGGCCTCTTACACAAAATGACCTGGACGCGTTGTATAGCTACTGCTTTAAATTGGACAATGAGACCATTGTAGAAATGAAGAAACGCGCAATGGTAAGTACTTCGGTTAAAATAATATTTTCCTTTTTTTTATATCGAATTTTTTTAACGTTTTTATTTTAAAGGAAGCTTCTGAAAAGTTTCAAGAGGAACTAGTACAGGATCAGTTGGATGCGAGAGAACAAGTTAGGCGCTATGTGCTTGTTGAGCTTCGAAAAGAGCGTCAAGAACAATGGGATCGTGTCCAAGAGGAATTTGATCGAATACATGAACAGTTGTAAGTTTTAAATTTTTTTGCGTTTTTATGTATGCATGTAAAGATTTTTTTTTCTGATTTGCTTGTTTCTTTCCTTATAGTGAAGATGAGCGGAGACAGTTAAGAGAATTATATCATCAGAGAGAAACATACTTCCGAAACGCATACGAGGTAAATATATTAATGACATCTTTATCATATGTGGCTCTTTAAAGAATAACTTGTTTATGCTATCTATAAACAGCAATTGGCAAGGGAAGAACGTGAAGCAGCAGAGGCTCAACAACGGGCACAAAAAGAAGCTGAAGAACGTGAACGGTTGAAACGAGAAGAAGAAGAACGTGTCAAAAAGGATACGGAAGAGCGTTTGAGACGAGAAACAGAAGAACGCTTGAGACGAGAAGCAGAAGAGCTAGCAAAAAGAGAGGCTGAAGAGCGAGCCAAAAAAGAACTTGAAGCAAAAAGGCAAGCTGAAGAGGCCAACCGAAAAGCTGCACTCTCCATCGCACAAAAGTCTGCACCATCACAATCAGCTACTGTCACCACCACCACACCGGACCCTAATGCTGGACAGGATAGAACGCTTATGGTATATGAGGAGATATACAAGAATCGATTAAAGCTGGTCAAGGAAAAGTTAACGGACAATCAGCATTTGAAAAATTCAGCCTTTCAACACATAAAACTTGTCAGACTACGATTAAATCAGCTGACTAATACAAGAGACTCGATACTCAATATTGTAGGCATCTCATTCAATTCATTCCCTTTGAATTCTATTTATTCATTGTTATTCTAATTATGTTTTATAGGTCAATGAGTTCACGCAAATATTGCGAAATGTCCGAACCACTAATGATTTATACAACTATTTGCTTAATTATGTTGCGGAAAATGTTGTTGTAAGTATCATTTCATGTTTTATGATGAATGTTTCTTTCCCCCCCCCCCCCACGTTTATTTCATTATGCGTTCCTCTTTCGCCATAGTCACAAGCTGAAGTAGAGGCATCAACTTCACCAACTCATTATTCTGCTGCATATAAATTGGCGCATATATGCGTGCTTCTCAACAGTCAACATCCGGATTTAATTCATTATATGATGTTACACTTAGCTACACGATGTCCTTATGTGATCCCGCTATATCACATACAACAACCGGTATGTATCTATTTTTATTTCCAAGTCATTTTCTTTATTCACCACAATAGCTTTTATTAATCCCTAGGGTCAAAGCATTCAGCAATACAATGAAATTATTGGCTATAAAAAGGATGAAGAGGAAGACAAATATATCGGACGAATGCAGGCGATAGTGGCATTATATGCCGCCCTTTTGCAAACCACGCCTTTTGTTCCTAGTAAGCTCCTTTTGTTGTATCAACAAATATTAATAATTTGATCTAAAATAATGATTTTTTTCTTATAGATGTTCAGAATGATTATTCGATTGAAGACGCGTGGAGGTGGTTATCCAAAATTGCGAATATTACGCCAAGACCAATCACCCCATATTTAGTGTACACATTCTTGCAGGTAAGTTTTATTTTTATTAACTATTGATAGATAGAAATTGTTCAGAGATAATACTGACATGAATAATCAATTTATAGATAGTTGGACCTAAACTTATCGAGTCTTATCCTTATCCCAATCAAACACAGAAGCTCATTAGAACCTATTATAATCGATACTATCTCAAGCCACCCAAAGAATACGCTGATTTGAAAAAGGAATCAGCAGCGGCTATAGCACGTTTACAAACGTTTCTTATGGATTTGGTTAATAATAATTTCCGGTTTCCTGAATCGCCTGGTAGAGTTCCCAACTAATTAAACGCTAAGAATGAGGAAAAAAAGGTCTTGGTTTAAGAGTTCTTGTGAAAGATCAGTTTTTCTTATGCTTTCGAGGTTATTTCGAGGTTAGTTCAAAAATTTGCCATGCGATTGCACTCTTAACGCCATGCCCAGATATTGCGCACAAAATGTGCCGGTTGGATTCGGTGCAAAGTCAAGCAAGGCTTCTATTGAAAAGTCTCGCTTATTTATCTGTATTTACAAACCTCCCAAAAATTGTGATCATGAAAATCATGAATGTAAAAATTCTCAAAAAAAATCTGTATTACAAATAAAAAGAAACTCAAAAACATAAGTTTTATTGGCATATAGATAAAGATAAAATAGCTACTATACTATTTTGATAACCTTTAATGCTCTATGATTTATTCAAGTTTCAAATTCTCATCATCATCTTCATCCCAAACAAAATCTCCAGCAACCTCACTATCAGCATGTAATTGCGTCAACCCCGTTAGTTCCTCCAAATAACTGTTCGACGAACTATTGAACACACGTTGCAAAAATTCGAACCCGTGTTCATGATATTCATTAATTACAATGTCGGAACAAGCGGTACACCTATTATACGCTTGACCAACAATAAGCATATTGTTGAAATGCGTGAGAAATCCGCGAATCTGGTGAGGTATGATACCAAGTGGTGAATCGGTGGCGGATGACAAGGATTCGGAAATTGGAAGACTTGAGTGAGCTGGTGCTGCAGCGCTTTAATATTGTATGCAATTAAATAGACCGTTATTTTGCAAAATAAAAGATGAAGCATGATAAAAATGCTATTAAAAATTCTAACGCATACCCTTTCTCATGGTGTAAAACGGATACCATCAACTCAACTGCCAAAGCACCAGCAATAGGCGCTAGCCCTGGTCTTGTTACTGTACATTGTTGATCAAGTGTACGATCTTTTAGAGAATCTGTTGGTGCAACCACGTCATTACAGAAATAACAGCCTAGTTGTTTTACGTCCGACAAGCTATTTGAAGCTTCATTGGTATGGTTACCCTCATTATTTTTAACACCATGCCGCATTACTAAATATGTGTCGAAACCCAATGCTACATTTATGACTTGCTAAAATTTAGTTAATTCTTAGTTAAATGAATGCTATAAGACACAGCCTACGCTTTAGATTAACTAATATAATACCTTTTGCATACTTGCTCCCACCAAAGTGGGCAACCATCTACTTTCTCGACTATCTGTCAATAAGAAAATTACATCGTGTGATTGAATCAATTCAGTCAATTTATTGACGTCGTCTTGCGCTTTGGTTAATGTCGAGATAGGATGACCAGGCATCGGGATATTGATATCGTAGCCTTCTGAATTCTAATATTAATAATTTTACCAGCATATAAATGTATGCCCTTCCTTGATAGGTACAAATATAAAACAAAAATACTCACTACTCCCGGATAAATTTTTTTTAAATTCTCTGCAGCAGTTTGAGCTTTTGGCTTACCACCTTCCAAACAATCTTCAAAGAAGAATAACGGTTGTCGCACAGGGTTAGAAAAAGAAACGCGTGCATTATCAACAAAGGTAATATTGCGAACACCCCACCCCTTGCGATTCCACGAAAAGGAACAAATGAGAACAAAATAAACAAAAGAATCATAGAACGAGATCGCGACCGCAACCGGTCGATATATAAAATTCTACAACCTACCAATAAGGTTCTTGCAACATAGCATCCCAAAGTTCCAGCTCCCAACAAAAGGCATTTTGTGTCTCTTATTTTTTCCAGATCCAAAGAAGGCACTATCCGCCATCGCATTAATTTTAGATTGAGATCAACCGAGGTATCGGCTAAGCTTGTGTGTTGATAAACACAACAATGGCAAAGGTAGGTGAATAAATGAATATCAAAAATTTCTATATTTAATAAATTCATACCTTTCGGGATTCATGAGTGGTGCGAGATCCGCTGTTCGGGGACCCAGTTTGCCCTGTGCATTTTTTTCCCAACCAACGGCTTTTGGACATTCGTCTAATAGCATATAATTTATACTTATTATACTTGTAATGTTAATTATCTTAAATAAAAAAATTACATATCGGTCCCGTGCAATACTATAGGCCACTCGCATACCTGAAATCTTCGGTTCAGTCGGCAATTCGACAGTCAAAAAGATACTTTGGGAAATATCTTTTTTTCCTATAATTTCTCGATAGCAAAGTACTTTTATTTTTTTAACATGCCATTGCCGATGCAAAAGAACTAAAAAATTACGAAGAGGCCATCCGGGATTCGTAGGTAAACTAGATGGATCTGCAAATCCTACGATTCTCTAGAATAACGCGTTTAATATTATTAAAAGCGCCGAGGAAAATATATTAAATAATAAATGGATTAATAAATACCTCATCATCATTCAACCCTTCAAAAAATGTTTCCCATTCAGACAAACTCCCAACAACTATCTCTCTTTTATTATCCTCCAAAGTACTTTCTCTAATTAAAAAGAAGCCAGCGTTATGATCACCTTTAGAATGCCTGAATTTCTCATAATTTGCACGAAAGTTTTGAATCTAACAATTAGAATTAAGCTCAAATAAGAATAAATCCCAAAATTATCGTTAATTATATCATCACAAAAATATAACCTCATCCTGATTCCAAACTTCAATACCAGAAACTTTTCCATTATCACCAATAACCCAAGCAGGATCAATAAGCAAGGCAGGAAAAGCAAACCAATAGTGATATTTATATTTTTTCAGGTCGGCATAAGTAATAAGTAGAAATCGAGTAAGAAGAGAGGGATTCTTTATCGCTTCCCCATTTGTAATGTCGTTCCAAATCTTAAAATATTGAGCGACAAAAATAAAAGGTAAAAAAAATAACGTACTTATAAATATTTGTCATGTGATTTTATTCTTAGCGTTCAAAAGAATTTAAGTGAACTTCCTTACTTGCTCAATGGTTGTTTTGAACAAGGCATTCTTATCCAGACTTTTGAATTCTTCAATGGTATTCGTGTTTTTTATTGTTCCAGCCGAAGGATAAGTAAACGGTGGTAAACTACCAATATCTTGAGTTAGGATTTTGAAAACTGAAGTTATGCACGAATTTAAACTACTAGTAGTTTTTAATGGTTTCATACTAAAACTTATTCTCACCGTGAGACGCCACCTTCTTCCGAATCAAAAGCTCCAGTACCAAGACACAGCCTCGACGGCAATATTACGTTAACTTCCTTGGGATCTTTACTGTTTGTTATAGAGTGTCCAGTAGAATAGTATCCCACAATGTTCTGAGGTGTGTCATCAAGTTTGTATAAATCGATTTTACGAGTTGAGAGAGTATGCCAGAATGGAGCTTCTACTGCTGACGAAAATGGAACGAATTGAACAAGAGTGGTCATTTTTGTAGCGTTTAGTTCAACTTTCAAACCCAATTTGGGGGTCACTAAAGCCGGGTAGTCCGATCTGTATTAATTCAATCCAGATCAAATCTGTATATTCCGGAATTGACAAAAGAAAAAGAAAAAAAATGGCGAAATTTGCCATCGAAAGAATTATCATCAATCAGATGATATTCGTGAAAGTAACTCAATGCAGTTTTTATTCCATATATTCACACTTGCCTATTAGATCATTAATTCTTTTGGGCATTGAATTAAATAATATTGCAAAACTCAATTTCAATGCTTCTCTGGACAAACAATAAAATCACAATTTGTAACGCCGATCGCTTTTATCAACTTCTTAAAATCAAGTTTTTGAAAAAAACTTATTAAAAGATGATAATATAGTTATCAAGTTATCAATTAGATTACACATATATATAATTATTAAGCATCTGTAAAAAATAAATATAATTATAAATAATAATAATAATAATAATAATACAGTACCCGCCACCAATCCACTATATGAAGCGCCAACCCTAACTCTATCATTACATAGTGATGTAATCAGTCATGCAACCAATGATCGATCAATCATGTAACCAATGATCAATTGCAAATAAAATAATACTGCTGCGAGTCTATCTATAGACAAAGCAGCTATATTACTTGCCAATTTATTGATTAGCATAATGCATAAGCTAGTCTATAGCGATAAAATAAATATCCACTTTTCATCATAAAATAAAGAAATTCTTTTTTTATTTCTCTTATCAATTTAATAATTTATTAATCTAATTTATCATTTCTTCATTAATCAATCTAATATTTTATATACTTTCTGATCATATATTCTACTACTTTTTCAGTTAAATCATGCTGATAAGCATCCATCTATCTAAATAAAAGTCAAGCAAAAGAATAAATTCTCTCTATAGGAATAAAATCAAATACTTGAGAAATTATTTCTTTAAATTTTTTGCTAAGTATTAATAATAAGATTGAATATATTTCTTAATTGCTCTTTAATATATTTTAATATAATTAAATTCTGAATAAAACTTGAAATAAAATATAATCTAAGAATAATATCAAGCTAACAAAAAAAATTAATCAAAAATAATAAAATTATCTTATATTTACAAGATTTAATTTCTTATTAAACTTAATTATATTATACAAGAAAATCTGATTAATTAATTATTAAATAATATACATAATAATTAATAATATTAAGATTTATCTTTTCTTTATATAAAATATACTCTAATATTATTTTTTTCTGTTATAATTTTCTTTTACTAAGAATTAAAAATAATATCTCAATTAATTATAACTTATAATATCTAATTAGAAAATTATAATTTAATTATAATTAATTATGATAGCTAATTAAAGAATTATAATCAAGTTATAATTAATTATAATCCTATTATTATTAAGAATTTACTAAATTTTTCATGCAAATTAATATTAAATTTTATTTTCTTATTATAAATAAAGTAATCTTATTTAATAATTATAAATTAATAGTTACTATTCTATAATATATTTTATATTTTTAAAATTAATTCTTTTAAATTAAAATTTATTTTTGAAGCTACAAGAATATTCTTAGCAAAAATCATATAAGAAGTAATATTATTAAAAGTAAATATATTTATACATCTTGAATATATTTGCTTAAAGATATTTATTACTTATCTGACTTATTTAAAAAATTTTCTGAAATTTCAAAATTCATCTTAGTTAATATTAAGTATTATTATTATATATATTTTTTCTTAATTATCTTTAAGTAATTCTATTATTTTTATTAAGAAATCACTTATATATATATTATTTTTTTTCATAATAATTATTCTTTTTTAGAATTTTATATAGTATATAATCTATTATAAATATGAAAGATAAATTTATTATGAGTTATTTATATATATATTCTTTCTTATTAATACTTAAATTTAAGAAGATTCTTATTTTATAATCTTCATTAAGTTATTTAAATATAAATTAATTAAGTTTAATAATCTCTTAAAGAAAAATTTAATAATAAATAATAATATTTATCTATTTATATTTATTTATATAAATATTTTTTTAAAAATATTTATAATAAAAATCAAGTTTATATATTTATTAATAAGTTATTTAAATAAAAATATATTAAATAAATTTATTATTTAATTAAGAAAGAATATATTATTTAAAATAATCTTTGATTATTATTAAAATTATCTTGAATTTTTAAGTCTAATTAAAAAGAAATTAGCTTATTATAAAGTAAATTTTTAAAAAAGAATTAAAATATATTAATATGAAGTTTTGTAATGAATATTTAATTTCTTGTAATTCTGATATTTATAATAATTATATATAATCTGAATAAGTTAAAAAATACTAAAAGAAAAGTATTTAAAATCAGAAAAAGAAAAAAAAGCTAAAGATAATAACTATAACTTTATTAAAATAATCTTAAATAAATACTATATAGTATTTGAAGAAAATAAAGATAAAGTAAAAGAAGAAAAAGAACTAATACTCAAAAAATAATTAGCAAACTTAATAATTAAAATTTATAATAATAAAGATAAAGAAAAAATATCTGAACAAGCTCATAAATATGATGCAATTTTTGATTTTAGATATTCTAAAAAAGAATTAATTCTTATTTATTCTAGTCAGATCATTATAATTAATTTTTATTTAGTAAATAAAGTTTTTGTAAAAACTATTTATTAATTATATCTTAATTATTATTAATAAAAAAAGAAATTAAAATTAAAGAAAAAATAATTAATATTAAATATATTAAAAATATTAAAATTCTTTTATATAATAATATAAATGAATCTTATAAAATTTAGTCTAATAAATAAATTACTCAAGTAATTTTTTTATAACTTATTTTAATTAAAAAAATAAATTTTATAAATATCAGAAAAGAATTAGAAGAATTAACTTGAAAACTCAAAAATTTAAATTAACTAAAAGAGATAAAATAGAAGTATATAGAGATATCATCTTAATTAATTATAACTTATAATAATTAATTAGAGAATTATAATAATTAATCAGAAAATTATGATTAAATTATAATAATATCTTTAAAAGTATACTTTCTAAATAAAAAAGAAATCAAAAAAATAATTAAATAAAGAGAATTAATCATTAAACAACAAGATATCTTTTATAATTTATAGTTTAAACTGTTATTAGATAATTTTAATATTATCTTCTTGAATCACTTTTTAAAATTATTACTAATTATAATATACTTTGATAGCTATTTACTAAATAAGTTAATTTTGAATTCCAAATTTCTCATTAAATAATAATCATAATAAAATATAACTTTATTATTATCTATAAAGCTGAAAAAACTAATTAAAATATTGATATTTTCTTAAGATTATATTTACAAGAGTAAAAAGATAAACTTATCAGTTAAATAAATTATTTGAAATAATATTTATTGAATAATTAATTAAATAAATTATTTAAATCTGATTAATTTAATTAATAAATTTAATAATATATTATAACTTAATAAAATATATAAAAAATAAAAGTTATCTTATAAAATATACTGAAGAATAATAAAAAAAAATTTGTCAATAATTAAAATACTTTTTAATAATAAATAAAATACTTTATAAAAAGAATAAAAAAAAAGAATTTACTATATTACTTTGAGTCTTAAAAGAAAATAAAATTAAAATAGAAATAATTAGTATATATTTAGATTTACTTACTAAATATTTGATAGAATTTATTAATAAATAATTATTAAATATTAATAAAATAAAATAGAAATAAATATAAAAAATTTTATTAAATTTTATAAAACTTATTAAAGAACTGATAAATAAATTATAAAATAATCTTTATATTCTATCAAAATTAAATAATCTTTTAATAAAATTATAATTAATCTAGTTAAATTTTATAAAGTAACTAAGAAATAAAATTAATAAATTATTATAGTAATTAATCTATTAACTAAATAATCTAAAATAAAGATAATTTTAAATAAAGAGACTAGTATAATTATCAAATTTATTTTTAAAAAAATAATTTATAAATATAAATATTTAAAAGAATTATAATCAGATTAAAAAACTAAATTTATAACTTAAGTAATTAAAAAACTTATTACTTAATTTAAAATTAAATACAAATTTTCATTATCTTATCACTTACAGATTAATGAAATAATAAAATAATTTAATAAGATTTTATATAAAATATTTCAGAAATATTATATTATATTAAATGAATAATAAGATATATATATATATTAGTAATATTATTTATATATAAAATACTTCAAAATAATAATATAAAGTATAAATTCTTTTTCTTAATTTATAAAAGAGATATCTAGTTATTAATTAATTTGAAATATTCATTATTAATAAAAGAAAATAAAAATAAAAAAAATAAAATATTAAATTAAATATTCTTTCTTATTTATTATTTATTATATAATATTAATATAATATAAAATTAAATTTAAAAATAATTATAATAAATAAAAGAAAGAAATAACTTAAAATTATCAAGAATCATATAATTTAATATTAAAAATAAAGTTTTAATATATAATATAAAATAATATATTACTTATAAAAATAAATTTCAGTTATAATAGAATACAAAATAATTTTATATTTATAAACTTCTTGATAATAAAACTTATAAATTATATAATTAATATGACTAATGTAAGATTATTTTATTAATGGTTATAAATAAGATAAAATGTAATATAAATAAATTTTAATTTTATAACTTATAATTATTTTTATTATTTAAAAGTATTCAGATCTGAGAGAAAATTACAGAACAGAGA